CTTCCCCCCCCACAGGGCTCTGTACTGCCCCCTTCCCTCCCCAGGGCTCTGTACTGCCCCCTGAATGCCCGGGGGAGCCAAACACAGTGCCCACTGCCCACTGTGAAGTGCAGCAACCGAGTGGGCAGCCTCAGAGGTGCTCTAGGGGCAGGAGGGCCCCCACTTACCGGCTCACAGTAGCAGACCACACAGTGCATCACCCCAAAGGGCTCGCCCAGATCCGGGTGCCAGGTGTCTTCCAGGGCATAGAACCTGCCTCCGAACGAGCAGCCTGGAGATGGGGAACAAACTCCTGAGCGCACAGCCGGCAACCCAGCGCCCAGCTGTGACACCCTGCTACACCCAGCGCCCAGCCGTGCCACTCTGCCGCACCCAGCGCCCAGCCGGGCCACCCTGCCGCACCCAGCGTCCAGCCGTGCCACCCTGCCGCACCCAGTGCCCAGCCTGGGCCACCCTGCCACACCCAGCGCCCAGCCTGTGCCACCCCGTCGTACCCAGAGCCCAGCCTGTGCCACCCAGCCCCCAGCCGTGCCACCCTGCCGCACCCAGTGCCCAGCCTGGGCCACCCTGCCACACCCAGCGCCCAGCCTGTGCCACCCCGTCGTACCCAGAGCCCAGCCTGTGCCACCCAGCCCCCAGCCGTGCCACCCTGCCGCACCCAGTGCCCAGCCTGGGCCACCCTGCCACACCCAGCGCCCAGCCTGTGCCACCCCGTCGTACCCAGAGCCCAGCCTGTGCCACCCAGCCCCCAGCCGTGCCACCCTGCCGCACCCAGTGCCCAGCCTGGGCCACCCTGCCACACCCAGCGCCCAGCCTGTGCCACCCCGTCGTACCCAGAGCCCAGCCTGTGCCACCCAGCCCCCAGCCGTGCCACCCTGCCGCACCCAGCGCCGTGCCACCCTGCTGCACCCAGCGCCCAGCCGTGCCACCCTGCCCTGCCCAGCACCCAGCCTGTGCCACCCTGCCGCACCCAGAGCCCAGCCTGTGCCACTCTCATTCCACCAGGTTTCAGTGATGCCTATAAAAGGCTATTAGCCAGGGGATAAAATGGTGTCCTTGGCCTCTGTTTGTCAGAGGCTGGAGAGGGATGGCAGGAGACAAATCGCTTGATCATTGTCTTCCGTCCATCCTCTCTGGGGTACCTGGTGGTGGCCACTGTCGGTAGACAGGATACTGGGCTAGATGGACCTTTGGTCTGACCCAGTACGGCCGTTCTTATGTTCTTAATT